TTTTATTTGTGTGCAAAATCAGGATGCTTTCCGCGGGATTTTACTGGAGTTGAAAAAAAAAAGAAAAAACTTGAACAATTGAATTTTTTTACCTTCAAAACTTCCGACTCATTTGTTTCAGCGATGTAAAGTAAAGGTTTATTTTATATTGTCGGGCATGGCGCCGTGGTAAATAGCACCCCCCTCATTTTAAAGGTTAAGGGTTACAGGACTCTGATTATAGGACAAATCAGTTTCTGTACAATTCGTTCATGCATTTCGGTGATAAAATAGCACTGACATTTGTGAGGAAGTCGCAGCCAACAACGTTTCTGAGTAACCGTTGAAAAAGGGGAGCCATCGACCGCCTTGCCAGCGTGTGGTTGTTGCTAACATGTACTATCACTAGGGCATTTTAAATTAACTCAATCTTTCAAAAAGAATGAATTATGGTGCTTTATGGAGATTTAAATGACCCGAATATTAGCAAATTGTCAAATAACTGTTGCTGCTTAGTAGAAATATATTGCGAGTGAAAGCGTGAGGCTTTTTTTTTCCAAAAATTTGACGGAAGTATGAAATTTTCTGCAGCAATCGAGTCTTTATAATTTGTTTGTACTGCAAAAGTTTTCAGGCAAGACACCCTATCTTTATCGTCATGATTTGGTTGCACTTTCACAGCGAAATCTTACGCAGAGGATATCCAAGCCAATGAATAAAATTCCAGAGAAATACCTGCCCAAAAAACTTGCTATAACCACTCGTCTTCCGGAAACAAAGCATGTATTTTGTTACTTTTTATGTAATTTACGCTTATCTAAGATTTTATCGCGAAACTCTTCTTTTTTTTCGATGAATTGCTCGTGTGATCAATTGATGGCGTTTCGCAGGCGTTCTTTTTTATTGCCAAAGTTGGCTTTCATGCATTCGTTACATTTGTGTAGATGCAGAAACATAGTTGACGAAATCGTGTTGACATATGTGTCTGCGTATTTTTGTGTTTGTGTCTAGTTAAAATTTAGTCCTTGGCCCTGTACTGGCTCAAAAATCCAACTGCAGTCTTCCCCCGGCACCTGTTCCAGAAGTATGCTCACTGGGGTAATTTCTCTGTTTTTGAAATTGGTATAGCTAGAAAGCTGAAGTTTCGACATTTTGAGTTGCGATTGATCCAATGATTATTTTTTTTACAGATCGAAACCGATTTAAAAAAAAAAAAAGTAAAAACTTCTTGCTTCTGTCTTTTTGCTACAGAACGTCCTCTCTGCGTCTTGG